ATGGTTGCTCCTTCACAATCGCATTTTGTATGCATTGGCCATGCGCAATGAAGGTGAGAATCAGGCTGCTCAGGACCTCGTGGATGGATTGATGACCGAATGGACGCCGGCTTCGGCCCTGAGGTTCTATGGTCGAGAGGATCCGCTTGCAGAATACCTTAGCTTCTGCTTTTTGCCAAAGGAGTCCCACATTGAAAAGATCATGTTGCCAGAGATGCCCGTCAATGATGTAATCTGGATCTTAGTCTCTGACTCGTCATGTGCATTGATCACAGGGCGTAGGAAAACACTTAAGAAGTTTGACCTGTCCGAGCATTACCGGCAGCGCAAACCTAAGTACGTGACTGAGTTCATCCATGAGATGCTTTGGGGCAAAACTCTGCAGAAGCTGGTCAAGCGTGGGATTGAATTGGCCGCGGACGCCCGCGAGCGCTATCCTCATGCACGCATCAACCTGCACTTGTCCTGGTTCGGAAATGAATTGGTAGGAGAGGATGGAATTGCCCAAAATCCAAATTGGCCGTACGATGGTCCCAACGGGCACTGGCCCACGATCCTGGATGATTGTGAGCGCCACTTGACATGGTTCATCAACAAGGCCCGGGAGTTGGACTTGCAGACGGCCGGTCTCACGACCGCGCCCTGGAGCGCAGATTACGGCATTCATCCCATCTTCGATCAATTTTTCGACCATTTGGAGCCCCGATTCAAAGCTCTAACCAGCAGCCTGCAAGGGCGTGCCAATCCGCGGTATCCGTGGCTGAAAGCAAAGGGGTACGCCGATGCAATGGAATTCAGAGACCAGTGGCATTTCGCCAACTCTGAAGAAAATCGCACGCGCCTTGCTGCCTATTGGACAGCTACCCTTTTCGCACTTGATTCCGGATGGCGGGTTGGCCAAATTGGTTTGGAGCTTTCTGAGTGTGCCCAGGAGACATGGGATGATTTGCGGAGGAACATGAGCGCCGTCCTGGACGAGCTGCCAAGATCCTATCAGGAGACATGTGCAAACATCACCAAGTTGCTTTTTGGAGAGTCCCGAAGACACATTGTGCCGACGGGCAGGTCATTCACCAAGGAGGACGTCGAAGCTCAACAACCTGACACTGAGGACTACATCGACATCAAGACGATGCCTTCGGGCACGTTTGCTGAGCCTCCCAAAGATGACCCTCCAAAGGCCGCCGGCGACGGCGAGCCCGCTGCATCCAGCAGAGCAACAATCCTGGTCCAAACAGCTGAGGTCATGTTGAAGTCGCGGCCGAAAGCAGCACCAGCACCAGTGGATGAGCCCGCAGATGACAAGGGAGCCACATCCAGCCAGTACCAGCCGCAGGCAACTGCGCGCTTAGAGGGACAAGCATCTGGCCACGTGAAAGCATATTGGATGGAAGAGCATTTGCCTGAATACCAATATACAATGGTGACCAATGCAGACGGGGACGATGTGCCCGGTATCCTCTTTGAAGGTACGGCTTATGAACTGGAGCTGATATCGGCATCCGACGTTGAGACCATTGCCAGCCAGACTCGTGTCGATAAGAAGTTTTCTGATTTTGCAACTCGTGTCAACAAAGTTTGCAGGGGGCATGGATCCTGTGCCAAGGTGCCAATGGACAAAGACCTTTGGATTGACTTGGAGGATTTTGCCAAAGCCTTCCGCAAGGAAGTGCCCCCAGATGTTTTCATCACTGTCGCAAACCTGTTTGGCACCGCAATGAAGATCGACAAGCATGGCAAGAGTAGGTTCCAATTCTTGTGTGCAAAGATCTCCCATTTTCCTGTCGACAATGGCCTAGGCATGCCGTATTATCCTGTGAAAATCCGTGCAATTCAGGGTCACTCCGAAGCTGCCTTGAAAACCGCAGGGGGTCTTTATGCCAATTCAACCATGGTGTATTGCTCAGACCATGTATCCCCCGAGCGAAAAGCCGCCTTCACTGGCGTGCCCCTGTGTGCCATGACTGAGGTTCCTGAGGTTGTCTTCCATCGCACGATGAAAAGCAGCTGGAAGAGCATCGCACAGAACGGCCTGATTCCAGGCGGCGGTGCAACAGTCAACAGTGGCCGTGCTCATATCTACATGGCAGAACACTGTATTGGCACGCAGGGATATCGATCTGGATTAAGAGCAAAATGTCCAATCGAAGTCAAAATCGCAATGCGGCAAGCAGTTGAAGCTGGTGTCATCTTTAGTCGCACAGAAATGGATGGGATTTTGTGCTCAGAACGCATCCCACCGCAGTTTCTGGTCAGCATCTCAGAAGAAGGACAGGTGCTTTGGTCCCGCGCCGAGAGCAATCTCGAGCCCAGCTCATGGACTGGCGCGGCATCAGGCTCAGCACCGAAATCCAAAGCGGTCACCTTGACTGCCCGAGATGATGCAAATGACGACCCAATGGATGACACCAGCACGGGGCGACCCGATGCCAAGTCCACTGATGATGATGCAGCCACTGCCCCAATGCAAGTTGACCAGCCGCCCGCAAGGACGCGCCGTGTTTACATTGCACCCAAGTACTGCGAACCTTTCATGGGCTCCTGTCCCCTCTGCCAGGTTGAGTACGTCAGTGGCCAAGTGACATGCACCACATGTGGGTTTGAGCCACTCCCAGTGGACGAAAGTGGCGATACAAAAGAGGCCAACAAACCCAACAGGAGGACCCGTATCCTTGAACGGCGAATGCAAAGTCTCGCCGGGTTCGGAATGTTTGGGAAGATGAGCGGAAGCTTGCTGACAGCCTTGACGGAAGAGCAAGCCAACCTGCTACGCCGAGAACTGGGCCCCAGGGGAATCACATCCGTGGAATCAGCAGTCCTCAAAGACTGCCGCGACAGGCATCGACGTGCAAAAGCGCTGGGCTACGAGGACGTGGAAGACAGATACTCCAGCGACGTCACTTTTTGCGACCGCATCCACGGTGAGGGGAAGGACCTGCAGGACTGCATATTCGACGATATGTTCGCATATGGCAACCTCCCCGATCCCCCAAGGACCAAAGCTCAGATCTCGGCTGGCGTCGCCGCCAATGCCCAAAATGAGAACTGCTTATCTAAGTTGATTTTCATGTCTCAGCCTCGAGGTGTTGATGGTTTCCCAGTTGAGTTCCGCAAAACATGGAAGAAGGTCTGGGGTTTCATGTTTGGCCGCTACATTTTTACAGAGGATGAATATGTCAGCTACATCGGCCGTCGTGGCGCATTCCGTGGCCTGTTGACCTGGAAGGGTACTGTCCAAGTTCCTTTTGAAGGCACTCGTGATTTCCTCGAAAAGGTGTATGAGGAAAACCTTCCCTTGGTTCGGAGCAATCTTGAACGCAAAGAGAAGCAGAGCGCCGCTGCAAAGGCTGGAGGTCCTGGAGGTCATAAGGCCGACCCCACGGTCGCGCCCACCATTGAGCGAAAGCGCAAAGCCGAAGCTGATGCATCCGCAACCGCACCAGATGTCACAGCCGCCTCAAGCTCTGCTCGCGCAGACGCCTCGCACGCTGATGCCCCAGTTGACCCCAACAACGCACCATTTCTGGCACCTGAACCACCAACATCCAAAGCAGGAGCACGACCATTCTTGGAGCCTGAGATGCCGCCCACTGCAAAAGCAGCAACCGCAGGAGTCACTTCGAAGGCTGCAAGCTCCGGTCGCCCGGATGCCTCTTGGAGTTGGAATCGTGATCACTATGGTGCACGCCGAGAATGGAGTTTCTGGCGTGGGGCTTGGTATTACCGTGACGAGGCCGGCGGCCGTTGGATCTTTTGGAACCGTTAGGGAGACGATGATTTTCTTTTGTAGCATAGCGCAAGATGTGGCATGGTAATGTGCCTTCCTTGCAACGCTGCGCTGGGTTTTACGGGCTTGAGCTTTTTAGAGGGACCTTTGAAAGACTGCACAAAAATGTCTAAAACCAACTAAAGAAATTTGGCTACCCGCGAGGGTATGCTTTTCTGGGTTATTCGTTCTCCGCAGTCGTCCCTGCTCGCCCGAGGGGGGTGTAAAAACTCCTGCAGTAAAACCATGTATTGTATATATATCATCGATCTGCCCGATAGCGTTGGTTCAAAAGAGCTAAGTGCTGAACGGTTCTACCCCCATTGTTAGTACATTGGTGGCTGACCTTGTAAAATACATCATCATCATAGTTATCATCATCATAGTTATCATCATCATAGTTATCATCATCATAGTTATCATCATCATAGTTATCATCATCATAGTTATCATCATCATAGTTATCATCATCATAGTTATCATCATCATAGTTATCATCACCATAGTTATCATCATCATAGTTATCATCATCATAGTTATCATCATCATAGTTATCCTCATCATAGTTATCATCATCATAGTTATCATCATCATAGTTATCATCATCATAGTTATCATCATCATAGTTATCATCATCATAGTTATCATCATCATAGTTATCATCATCATAGTTATCATCATCATAGTTATCATCATCATAGTTATCATCATCATCCTCATCCTCCTCATCCTCATCCTCATTATCCCATCATCCTCATCCTCATCCTCATCCTCACCCTCATCATCATCATCATCACCGTATCATCATTAAATTCATTCCTACCCACCATCATCGTCATGACTTCATCAGTTTACTCTTGCAGCTGAGCAGTCTGCGGTACAACACTAGTAGCGTCCTGCTAGCTTTCGTACCTCCCCCCTGGCCTCAAGTGTTATTAATCATATTTGGTCCCGGTATATAGATAATATAATGTAACATCCCAAGTTACAACTGGTTAATGGAATCTAATGTTAGTAATGTTTCCATCAACATAATGGAGAAATTTTGTATTTCAATAATATGAATAACATTCCGCTGATTGTCAGCATTAAGTCATAATTAGCAACCCAGTTACATATATATATATAACATATATTTGTAACCACATATAATTGAATATCAGTAACCATATATTTCTAACATTTTAAATAACCCAGTTGTATTTGGGAAAACCCCACTGGGACCACCTCCAAGGCGTCGCGCTGTCTCCTCCGCCTCCGCCTCGCGCGCCTCGCGCACCTCGCGCGCCTCGCGCTCGATCCGTCGCCGCAAGCGGCGGCTCCGGCGGCAGCGCTCCGCTTCCAGCGGTTCAAGCGCTCGCAGCAAGCGCGCGGTGAAGCCGACGAAACATATCCGAGAGGTGCTCCTGGAGAGGTGCCAACTGGAGTTTAATGGAAATGGGAATGGGAAAAAAACCATGTTGTTTATTAAAGTTTATTTATGTTTATGTTGATGTTTATTTGGAATATGTAACTAGCCTTTTGGTAATCAACCGTGGCATTAGTAAATCTTCCATTCAACAGTGGCTTCGCCACATTCGACGGAAGGGTATAATCCCATTCCCTATGGAAATATGGGAAGAACAGGATGGGATTGTGGGGATAAATCCAACGAAAAATAGTTGTAACGGAGAAACTATGACCAATTGATGGGAAGAACTACTGTATCATCTATCATCTTTCTTAATGGGGATTCACCAAGCAAATAATATGAGGCTTCACCATCAAGAATAGGACAACTGGAAACCAATGGTTCATGGCAATAGAAGATAAGAACACCGGCATTTGAGGGCGCAAGCGGCATTTACCGTCCAGTAATCTCACTTATATAAATGGATATGGAAAACCCACGATTCACAGATCAGTTTTGCAAACGGGAAGCCAGGGTCTTTTTCCAGAGCTATACCCTCTGGTAAACTAACATAACTATGGAAAATTATCATTTTTAATGGATAAATCAACTATAAATGGCAATTTTCAATAGCTATGTCAAATTACCAGAGAGTATATTTACTGGAGGGTGCCTGGTTTCTTTACCATAGGTACTTCAACACCCGCCATTTTTGTTGGCTATTAACATCTAATTGAGGGGATGTGCAATGGGCTTAGGATTTACCATCCGAATTGGGGGTGAACCATAATGAATGGGGATAATGGGGAGCAAAGAAGTACCAGGTGTGTGATTTTTGATGATGTTTGGTATTTTTGGATGGTAAAGAGTCAGCAATCAAAAACCATCACCTATCTTTCGGGGGTATGGTTGTGCATTGCTTATAAGAATTGATGGTCAACGTCACCGAATCTTAATTTCTTTGACACTGGATTGTGTTTTTGTACGTTATACGTTTTGTTAATGCTTGAAACATTAGTTAAACATCCAGCATGTATGGATGGTTACAACATATTCGAGTATCTCACTTGTTTTCAATGATGCAGAAGAATATCCGAGTTTCACAACAAAAACTGGTGTCTTTGAACAAGTAAACATGGGGACGGTAAGCAACAAAACTGCTGATTTTGTCCATAAGACTCGACGGTTTCATATATATATATACAATGTTTTTTGTCCCAAAACAATCGGATGATGATCAAACACAAACAAGTTTCTTTGAAAGCGTTGGAATATGTTGGAATATTTCGAAGGATGTTTCTTGTTGAAGCTTTTTCTCGGGTCGACCCCCCATGGTAGACGTCGTAGACGTCGTAGACTCGCCGAGCGGAGCGTCACTTTGTGAGGATCCTGGGAGACGTGGCACGGCTTCGAGATGTCGAGAAGACCTACCAGAACCTCTCCACCCACGAATGGTTAGATCGGCAATGCATCGCACCTTAGACACGATTGGTGGTTCAGATGGGCCATGGGTTGATGTTTGTATTGATGAATATGAAATTTAATATGAATGTACTATATAGATCTATATAGTCACTATAAGAATCTATGAGAGGGAGCGTATGAACACTTCATTGGAAGTACATGCTTCCGGGTATGACTAAGCCGTGGAACGTGGCGAGCTTCCCACGTGTTACCCTCGCCATTCCTAGAGATTTCACCGGCTTCACCGTCGGGGTTCACCCCAGTTCACATCCCGGTCAATGTGGTCTAAATTCAATGCCATAAAGGTCTATAAAGATCTATATAAAGATCTATATAAGGATCTATAATTGGGAATAACTTATTAACATTTATGAACTATTATAACTATTATATATTTCACTCAGCTGTTTCATCCGATTTCTGGTGGAGGGGGATGGTCTCCTTGATGGATCTTTGGCATCACCTGCGCAACGTGCACCGCACCGAGGAAGTCTTTGAGGACCGGAGCCACCGGATCCGAAGCCACGGGACCCCCATCGTCATCGAATTCAGCCGGCACCAGCAGTACTCCTTGGTGCTGGGATCCTTGCAGGACGGCCACGTCCAAGTGGTTTAAGTGGCAGTTTTAAGGCTGAAATAGAAACACTGCCACTTAATTAATATAAGCCATGAACTTGGAGAGGATCCCGAAAAATTTTCCGTTGCCATTCATCGCATTTATCTCGTGCATCTCTCAGTTTGATGAATTGAAGAAGCTCACAATCCTCAAACAGTCGACTAACGTAGCTGTGGAAAACGTCCATGTTTCAAACACGGTAAACCATCGAACCTTAGTGGGGCCGTCAATTTTCCATAGCAAACTGTATCCGCTTACCAGGGGGCGCCATCATTACTCATCATTTATCATCATTCTGGTTTCTAACCCATTTAACTATCAATATGATACATATTACAATAATTTCTTATCACGATAACACCACAGTTAATTATCAACCATAGTTCATCACCATCAACCATAGTTCATCACCATCAACCATAGTTCATCACCACCAACCATCACCACCAACCATAGATTAATCACCATCGAAATAATTTCTGCATCAACCATGGTGAATCACCATCAACCATAGTGGCCATAGTGAAAAAAATGGCTGCCAGGACACCTCGAAGGTGGACTGCCTGGTCTTTCACTGGAAAGATGCTCCAGGGCCTCTGGCCTGTAAGCTCTGTCTAGATGCCAGGAAGGCCGGCAAGGCCATCCACCGAAAACGCGGTGCACCCGCAATGGATTTGGGGAAGTTCCTGGGGTTTCCGGTAGGGTTTTCGATAGAATCCAATGGGATTCGAACTTTTGGACCGGTGATTTCCGTAGGAATTGAAGATGGAATTCGGGGGTTCTTGCTACTGAGATGTGGGTTTGGATGGATTTGGCCTTGATCTGGGCAAAGTTTGCTATGTTCATTACTTGGTTCTACCTTTTTTTTTTGGTGTGGCATCCCTGCAAATGTGGAGTTACATGGATTATCATTGATTTACCATTAATTTACCCAATCCAAAGTTCCGATCTCAGCCATTTATTGCCACAGCAGGATCTGACATCGATGCTGGCACGGTTCCTGAAAGAGAAGTACCACGCCCAGTACGCCCCCGCCGAGACTCCCGAGGCGACCTCCGGTGGATTTTCCAGCAAGCCATGTTTGGATTGCTGGGTAAGCCAGGATAACCTGCAGTTTACCATAGTTTACCATAGTTTACCGGTGGATTTACCAGTAAGCCATCAATTTAAAGAGTAATCTGGAAAACTATTCTGGGGGAGCAGGGTTCAGGATATATTCAGGATACAATGAGATTTCATTTAATGGGGGTTTGAACCACCAATCATGGGGATACGATATTGGACATAATATGGTATAGCTAGTCAGCCAGCTGATATGGCACACCCCTTGGCATATCCTTGATACGCCCCTTCATATCGCGTTTTATATCAATCCCCCATTTGAAATGGACATATACACACAGGCACATTGTGAGGTATGTTCATATATGTTCATATGATCTGTTGATATATTAGTTCCCTGGCAACCTCAGATGTGATAATATACCCTCAAATGGGTAAAACATACAGATTTCCATAGGTTTTACTGCCAGCCATCTTGAATAACTCGAGTTTCCTTTCGGTCAATTTAACGTGGCTATGGAAGCCATGGCCCGTTTGGTTCTATGTTTACCTGATAACAATTCCCATATTCCATTGCAAACCGTTAGATTACCAGAGGGTGTATCCCAATATCTCCAGTTCTATCTCCGTGAATTTTGCATATCCCAAGTTACCCTCTGATTTACCATAGCTATTGAACATGGTCCATTTATAGATGATGCAAACCTGCAAAAGATGGTGATTCTCCGTTGCTCACTGTTTTTTTATGACCAGAGGCTGAATCAGCAGTGACAACCACATCATTATGGTGAATTAAGGTGATTGTAATTAGTCACATTAGTGACTAATAGTGATACCATTCTTATCATAACATATCATAACTATGGGCAAGAAATCACAATAACTATATATCATAATTCATCACCATTATTCAATACAGTAATTGATATCACCATACTTCTCATATCGGTACATCACCACGATTCAGTAATCATAGCCAATCAGCATTTTTGAGTACACTAATAATAGGTAAATCACATTAAAAATCACCATTTATAGTTATAAAAAGTTAGAAATCAGCTATAAATCAGCTCTAAATCCCAGTAAAGTACCGTATTTTTCCTCCATTTTTTGGCCAGTGATTTTTCGCCTCGCCATCCGACACGTCGAGGCCTGGGACGAGTTTCATGGCCGGCGAGCAGAGATCGAAGTGAGGCGAAAGGGAAAAAGGATGGACAAAAGCCACTGGGAAAACGAAGCTGGTAAGATCTTGAGATCATTTAGAGATAGAACCCCCCATGAAATCCACATGAAATCCACATTTTGGATCATTTTGGAACATATCTCGGGACTGTTACGGCTGGTACCGGAGATCGATGTGATCGATTTAGATTTACTAGTCAATGAGTGATTTGAAGATTTCCAGGTTTGATTACAGGAGGGGGAACCAACAGCTTTTACTGGGATTGTTATGGTTCATGACCTTCCCAGAAATCCATTCATGATCCCTTGTGCAAGTTGATACATATATATATATGTATATATATATATGGACATAATTCTATTTACACACACACATCTAAATAGATGAATAGATAAACAAATTATCAATAATTGATAAATAAATAAATAAATATATATATATAATTACTAATTACAAAAAATATAAATATATGTGTACACATATAAATATAACTATATAAATATAGCTATATAAATATAACTATATTTTTACACATGTATATATGGAGGAAAATGTATGCACATATATATATATATTATACACATTCTAATAAATATAAATATATGTATACACACATAAAAAATATAATATAATATAAAATAGGATATAAAATAGAATGTAATATAATACAACATAAGATAAATTTAAATACTATAATACAAAATACCATTATATAAGATAACATAAAAACAATACAAAATAAAATAAAGTGACCTAATATAACATAACAAACAATATAATATACCATAATACAAAACAATACAATATAATACAAAAAATGAAATGATATGATATAACATAACAAACAATATATTATAATATAATACAAAACAATACAATATAATACAAAATCAAATGCAATAAACTGACATAATATAAAATAAGACACAATATAATATAACATACAAAACAATATAATATGATATAATATAATGTAACATAATATAAAATAACATGTTATAATATAACATAAAAACAATATAATATAACATAATATGATATAATGTAAAAGAAAATGATATAATACAATAAAATATAAAATAATATAATATGATATACTATACTATAAAATAAAATGATATAATATAACATAAAACACAATATAATATCATATGACACAATATCATAAAATATAGAATAAAATAATATATATATATATTTACACACTAGGATGATGATCCCACGAGACCAATTGATCCCGGGACGTGCCATTTTTTCAGCTCGACCACCTCGCCAGGTACATTCGTCACTCGCATGACGCGGTCCATGATACCTTCGGGCATGGAGAGCATCGCGGTGCCAGTGTCCGAGAGCTGGTGGAGAAGTTGATCCAGGGGAAGGTGAGGACTCAGGAGCCAAAAAGGGGATGAGGGCAGGGGCAGGGGCAGGGGCAGGTGAGGTTTCGATGCCAAGTTCTCGTGAGCGGTATGAGATCATCTGGTGATGTCACGGTCTTTTATATTCTTTTATCATGTTCAAAAATAGTTTTTTTTTGATGATGATCTCCAATGTCACATTGATCTTTCAATCTTTTCATCGGGGGTTGAAACTACCAAGCAGTCATCATCAAGGCCCAGGTCATGGGATTCCAGCTGGGGTTCCTCCCTGAAACCAATCCAATGACTACTGTGGTGGATGAGTTGTTTGACTTTCGGGGTGTTCTGTTAGGATCCATGGGAATCCTTACATGGCACACTGACCGCCATAGCAGCCTTTCCCACTGAACCTGTTGGCTCTTTTGGATGATTCTGATTTCCACCCAGTCTGGTTGGTGGTTTGGAACATTTTTTTCCATACATTGGGAATAATAATCCCAACTGGCTTTCATATTTTTCAGAGGGGTAGGTATACCACCAACCAGCAGTGATATTTGCATCATTTTCGGGAACCATGGGGGTGGTATTGGACGGGGTATCTATAAAAACTTGCACCGCCTCGGAGGCTTCGTTGATGTTTGAAACGATGGCTCAACAGCCGCTCCCAAAGTTGATGTTCTCGGAGTTCTCGAACGAAAAACATCATCCAGCTTCATTGGTTTTGTCTTTGGGCCATGAACATTTTCAGAATCCTATCCCCTGATCCCGGCGGAGCGCAGGACCTGACACCTTTTGTGGTCATCAAAATCGGCGACCAGGAGAGACACCGGGGTTGAAACGACAAAAGTCGCTGGAACCACCGGGAAAAAAACGATGTTGAACAATATGGTGAAGTAGTTCAGGAAAAGGCATTACAATATGGAGATTTCCTAAAATAATCTGAAATCAGGGTACCCTTAAATCATCAATTACGTATATATATATATAGAATTATGTATCCCTTCCACCTGCCTAAAAACAATGTTTTGGTATTGGACATCTTTATTTTTTGGATCGTTTCTTGAGGGTTTTAACCAGAGTGGTGGGATCCTAGCCAATTGTTTTGGTATTGTATCAATCGTCACCACTTGAATGGGAATCTATTTTACCAGTGATGCAATGGAATACGTTCGCAAGATGTCATGTAATGGTAAACCCAGCCATAAAAACCATCCCCAATGACTCCAATGACTTGGCGTTTTTCCGCTGATCTGTGCAAATCAAACATGGCAACATGGGGAATCCCTGATTTTTTCATAGGTTTTTTCCATCAAAACCTCCATGGCAATGGGGGATTTCCCGGCAATGTGATCTGCAGAAATGATGACGTGACCTCACTGTGTCACTGCGACGTCACTGGAATGATGATTAGGATTGGGGGAAGCATCCCCAGGCCGAACATTTCAGGTTAGGGAATGATGAAATTGATCCAGATTCCGGATGCCACAGGCAACAAACGAATGTCAAGTGAAAAGTCCCAAAAAAGCGGAAACGCTGCATGTTCTTTGAGGCCACTTCCCGTTTTCTAGGGCATCAGGAGTTGAAAATAGGGTAGCCTGAAAATAGGGCTGGTGTATCATCATGTCCTCATTCAAAGTGCCATAAAGATCCATAAAGGCTAAATCCACCATTAGACACACCCAAAGATCATGCCAGTACCAAGTTACACCACCAGTGATAGCTCATTTTTCCATATTTTTCCACCATACATACTATACTCTACTTTAAACCAGCACCTTAGTCAGTCATGGCTATGCCGAGAATTTTCCGTTGGAATCATCCCCTGGTGTGGCCATGTTTTATCACCAATCATTCGTTCACGATGTGTTTCTATCCAATGAATTGGGTTTCCAATGAATTGATATTTATTTCATTTTATTTCACTGAATATATCATGGGCATGCCATCTATTAGGGAAATTTAGCAATAGATACTGATATACTGATATATATATATATATACATACACACACACACATATATATATATACACATGTGAATGAATTTATTTATTATATCCCAATACCAATGATTGCCAACCATCCCATGTCCAGGTGCGCGTTGTTTATCGCCGCCTAACTCGTCACAGGAGTTCTGGGCCGTCTTTGGCAATCGCCGGCTGAAGGCGTTGACGCCCGGCCGAAAACATGGGGGTAGTTTCGACAAAAACATGGGAATATGATTTGGGATATAACCAACCAACTTGATTTAAGGATTTATTGGAGTATCTTTGGGTTTTGCAGCTTGAACGGCCAGTTTTTGAAAGGGTTTGAGGATACGTCCACTATCATCAGACAACTTGTTATCCCAAGTTTTGGACCACCATTGGATTTGATCGGTCGCGCCGTGCGAACCATCCGCCGGTCAAAATCTGAGCACCAGCGAAACACAGATTTCAGGGCTTTCTTTTCAGTGAGCAATCCCATTTTGGGCCAAAATTTCACGTGTGCCCACATGTTTTTTTAGCATTGCTGCCTGTTGATCACCAACACATCAAATCGCCTTGGAAAAAATTACGCAATGGTCTGCAGGCTTTGGTCATGCAGTGCTCCTCTTGAGTGATGGCGAGAGAATCGAGATACACAATGCAACATCCCAGCTTCGGAGGATGGAATGGCATACACCCATGTTTGACCACATTGTGTGGACATGTCCTTGTCGACCTTGTAATATGGATATCCCACCTCGACAGGGTGAAGTTCTCGTGGCTCGGGTGGGTCTTTTCTCGCTCGGTTGCTGACATAGATCGTGTTCATGCTTGGCTTGTGTTTGTGCAACGTTGCATTTGGGGTCTCCGGCATGGCTCTTAGTGCTATGTCGGTCCCGGCACATGTTTGCTCATTTGTCATGTTTATTTTTGGGATTGCCTTGTTTTCCCCCTTTTTGTTTGGGGTTGATTACTGGCGGGTCCCTGGTACTATGTTCGGGGTTTTGCCCTGTGGATTGGGTGAGGGCACTGACTTGGTTAGTGCCTGTTCACGTGCGCTGCTCGTTTGGAAAGTTTCACACATGCACCCAGATTTCTGCGGGCAGCATTCATACAGTGCCCCTCCGGAGTGATGGCAGTGCTGTTGCCATCGGAGAAAATAGATATGGCCAATGCAACATTTTGCCGCCAGAGCCGGGAATTTGCTACGTTGGCAATTTGACAATGTGCCAGAGACTTAGCCCTACAACTAGAGTTAGTGAGCGAGGATGATGCTGTCGAGCTGATATGCTCGTCTTTGGCTGGGTTAGAACGATGTCGCTTGACTGTACACGGTGTCGAATCGGCCTGGGAAAGCCACATTTTTGGATTGCTCGCGAATTGAATGCGAAGCTCCCAAATCTCCAGCTCGTTCTGCCAGATGGGCAGTTGTTGGCCAAAATCTGCCAGGCAAATCCAGAGGCCTCGGTTGCTTCAGACCCCTTTGACCCAGTAATGGTTATGCTAGGACAACTGCTCAAGAATCGAAGTGTAATTCCAATCTGTTTCCCTTTGTTCAGCTCATGGGGGATGAATGAGAGGATCTTTGAGCAACAATTTTTTCTGGCTCATGTTTTTCGTTCTTTCTGTGAAATTTAGCTCCTTTGTTCTTCCTCTCTTTCCTTTTCCTTTTCTGCATTCTTTCCTTTCTTTCCTTTGTTTCTTTCATTTCTCTCTCTCTCTCTCTCTTTCTTTCTTTCGTTTGTCCATTCTGTGCGTTTTTATTTCCTTCTTGCTTCCTTCCTTGCTTCCTTGCTTCCTTCCTTCCTTCCTTCACTCCCCCCTTCTTCCTTTTTTCTTGCCTTCTTTCCTCCTTTCTTCCACGGATTCCTTTCTTTCTTCCTTCCTTTCATTTTTTTTCTTTCTGTCCTGTTTCTTCTTTGGGGTGCCCTATTTTCAGACAAATGGCTGCAGATGGTGTACTTGAGGGACATTTTTGCTATTTACTTGTTGGGTGATATCGATGTGTCGAATTACTTCTACTTGGATGAGGAAAGAAGGAGAACCCAGCATATTTCACACTTATCCGAGTTTTTTTTCAAATTTTGGGTTCTTTATTATCAGCCAGATATGATTTGCTATGATGGGTATTTTCATCATCCATTATGATCCTCCTAAGAAGCACGGTCCCGTGTTCCACAAGCTCCCGTTGTGTTTGGTTGTATCCGCATTTATGTTGCGAACTGTTGAGTTGTGTTGGCCCAACGGCGTAGCGCCATGTTGTGAAAATCTCCCCATGTTTTGGACCGCCATCGTGGGTTCGACAGATGCCATTTTCGATACACTATTGTTGCTATGGAATCCCTATGGAATCCTTCTTACATCCCATTTTTGATGCTCAAATGCTCCACTGCCCATGGTGACCCACAAAGGAAAGAGTTCCAGGAGCACGAGGGAACCCACCGCAAGGTGAAGGCAAGATGCCTAGTCTGGTCCAAGGACGCCCTCGGGACTGAGCCGAGTGGAGGATGGTGGAGGCATTCGGCAACACATCGGGTGAACGGTGAAACAAAGGGGGATACTAAGTATCTAGAACCATCTATAGTTGGAACATAAGGGGGATAGATATGATCAGATATAACCAGTCAACCAACAACAGAAAACCATTAAACATGATTAAACATGATTAAACTACAATTGATACAGGGAAACATGGATCATTTTTTTTGCCCAAACTATGTGGCCAGAAGTTATGCCAACATTTTTTGAGCGGGGAGGGTCTCGCTTCGATTCGCCAGTGGCCCAGTGAAGTTTGGGTCGGCCTTGGATGGTTTTGGTACGCCTTTTGCGCACTAACTCTGGCTGTACTAAACTAACCCAACCAGCTAAAGGTTCAAATGTATATCTATCCATATATGTATAATTATATATACATATGCACACACACATATACATATGGATATACATACACACACACATATATATATACATATGTACATGTTTGCATTTATTAATCTTCATCTAAGATTCAGCCGCAAAACAAATCAGCAATATCAATAGTGCTTGCGACTGTGCTATAGTTTTAACAAACCATTAGTGTTTGCGTAACTTTGGTATAGACAAGATGCTATCCAGCTAAAATTGACTATCTAATAAGATTGACATATCCTATCATATCATTGGTCCTGAATCCCATGATGCCGCGAAGAATAACAACCACCATGACATCCCATTATGTGGTCATTGTATATTCCGTTCAATATCCTATCAACCATTATGAACCCATTATAAACCCATCATTAACCCACTATTAACCCATCATTAAGCCACTATGGCATCAGCATGGCATCGTTCAGGATGACGTTCCCGCATCCCTGGCCTGTAAGCTGGCCATGAGCGCCACGACCACGTGCCCCGGATCAACCCCACGTCCTCGGGAGGTCAATGTCCACGGGTTGTAATCCCTGCCCCAAAACATTGCAGGGATAAAAAAAGCCCAATGGTGAATCACATCTGTTCTTCAAATGTGAGACAGTTTTTTTTTTTCTGTGGTTGCGTTTTTTTTTTCAAGATTAACGGTCGGACATGATTTCGAGAACACCCATGAACATCCGAAAACACGATCATTTTCAACCATATCTTATATATTGATATTCATTGACCAATTGGTCATGTCAGTGGTTGATTGGTGAGAAAAATGTGAGAGATGATATGACCAGTCAAGAACAGGGATTTCTGAGGTCTTGCCCAGTGAACGGAGGGTGAAGTGGGTTTATAGCCCCAGGGCATTTAAGGATACCCTTTGGATCCCTTTGGTAATTGAACTTAGCTGTGGAAAACCTTCATTTTTCGTAAGCAAATGATCTACAAATGGGCAATTTTCGGTAGTTGTGCTTAGCTGTCTCAGAGGTTGTACGAAAAACAGATCATAAAATCGTACAGGGGAAAACTGCCGAGAAAAAAAATTGGCCAATTAGAACAATGTAGCAGACCTGTCTAGTTCATTCATGGGGAACGACTGAGGAATGACGGCCAGTTTGCTGCCTACAAGGGCAAAGGCAGAGGCAAGGGCAAAGGCCCGGGGGCTGCAGCTGAGATGGTAGATGTATTGATGTGTTTGAAAATTTGGTATTTCCCGAACCCGCCATTTTGAGAGGGACGTATGGGAAATCAAGTTTTTGTTTTGGGCACCGTATGTTCAGGCAAGCCCGTAGAGGTTTCATGGCCATCCCATAGCTCAAGTCCTGCCTACAGAGAAATGCCAGAATCACAAGGGTTCTATTGAAAGGATGTGGAGACTCAGAAAAGCTCACGGTTAGTTGATTTTCTCACGTGGATTCCAGGCAAAAGCCGTGCTTGAGCGCGTCGACAGTTTGGCCGCTGCCGTGTTCCCGGGTGGGTGTCCAGGGGTTTGCAAGATTAGTTTTCCCTAATCATTGGCTGTTCTCAGGGTCGACCTGTTAATTTGGGGGAGGGTGTACACCATTTCAAGTTTCTGAAACTTGGGCCCAAAATCATCGGTGTACCCAGACATGGAGCATTTCAGGATGATTTGGGGGCCCCCAATGGTCCGCTGTGATGACACACATGGAATCACATCCGCCGGGAAGATGCTTAGTCTCCCCGGGAGAGACGGGACCTGGGCCGTGTGCCCAGTGGAGTGGGATATCATTTTTTGATATTTTTAGTAGGACCAGGGTATCAAGGAATGGTGGTATAATATGGTATAATGGGATTGATATAATTGGTGATTTAGTGGGATTTCATGGGATATAGCTTATAATAGGGATATCATGATGTATCATGGGGTATACTGGGATTTAAGCCTGGTGTCATCAAACATGGCAATGAGAAAAGCCCCAACATCCAGGTCGCTAGGAAAATCATCGAGCTGCATGGGGGGATTATGTTTCATTACCGGAGAGTAAATCAATAGACAATCCAAAAAGACATCATAGATAGGTAGGAATGGTAGTGACATAATGACAACTGAATAAGTAAATGTGTGTAAATGTATAAGTCATGGCAATGGTGTAAGCCAAGTACGCACTGGCTATAATCAGGGTTCAAATATTCAAAGTCTTTGGCAATGCGAGTTCAACCAGCAAACAAGGGGAATTGAACTGAGACACCTTGGGCATTTCATCAGCAAACATCGGAGGTGTAGCCAACAAAAAATGAAGAGGGTGTATGTTCTCAAGCAATCTGATAAAGGAATCCCGATAAATTTCCAGCAAGTTTCATCACCAGAGGGTAAGCCTTCCAACGCCTATCCATTCATTAGAAGCCTAAAAACCCGACAAGTCGAGGTTTCAAATCGCATTTCGAGATTTTTCGGAGACCAGTGCGACTGAAGAGTTTTGGAAGACCCACACATTTGCAACTTAACTAGCCCATGCACCCAAACCTCTTAGCTTCTTTGGCTAAGACAGATCCCACAGATCAGTCTCTCTCGGTGGTTTTCCACGCTGCGTGCGTTGAAGAAAACGTGGTACTCAGGCGGCCAGGTGATGGGGCTAGTGACTTGTTGAGACTTCCTTTCCGGAGATTTGGAGATGTTAGATTCATATAGATTCATAATTATTCCAGGATGTTCTTCTTTTCATCAATTAAGGTACCTTCACAAAACGACAAGGGTCCACCTCGCAACATAGTTTTTGCAGAGCGGCGCGTTGGTTGAACACCCTGGCCTCCAGGCAATGAGCGATCGCAGTGAGACCGGCGATGTGGACACCATAAAACGTGGGGATGAACGATGAATAACCAGAGAACATGGGTCTTCATAAACCAGAAAAATGGGAATTCAATCAGAAAAATACCAATGGATACTGCAACCCAGACCCATGGGGATGTATGATATGGATATGTGACAGCCACACACACACACGATGGCAATATCAGTGAGTGGTGTTGCAGATAGACGCTGGCAGATATCTTGGGAGAGAGATCAGCCCCGATCATCATGGGGCTGCACCCAGTATTCCCAAAATTTGGTTCCCATCGAAAACTGTGCCAGTCCACCCTGAAAAATCTGAGCGATGCACCGACCGGGCAGTTGGGGCAGTTGTTGCTTAAAATGGCAACAATTTCAAGAGATTCGTCTTGAAAGCTGACATCTTTATCATCTTTTTTCCAGAAATGCATGGAAGTCCTTCCCATCAACGAAGAGTGAGCAGGTTGTCCGGGCCTGGTGGTCTGGCATTGGTTCCAACTCCTTGAATTATCCAACTGATGTCCGGACTCATAGTTAACAACTGGCTTCGAGTAATCAAACATGGCTTGGAAAAATAAAGAAGAAAAACATAGAGAAATAAAGATTTCAATGTGGATGATTTCAAACATTGGGATTTTCGAATGGCTTTTCTAATTCTTTTTAAACGTATTCCAGCCATGGTGGATATTCTCGCCACAAAATTAAAATCCTGTGGCTTCACCGAAGTCTTCAGATATGAGCGATCTGATTCCTGCGAGCAGGGGAAGCGTACTACAAATGGTCATTTTCTATAGCCTCTGGTAATTTAACATAGCTATTGAAAATCACCATTTTTAATGGGAAAATCCACAATAAATGGTCATTTTCAATAGCTATGTTAAATTACCAGAGGGTAGCCAACATTAATTCTGAGTAGAACCTTTTCGGACTTTAACCCCTTCAGTTGAAATGACAACACATTAAATCGGACAGATGAAACACTGGCAGTTTCGCTTTCCGGTGAAACACGGTTAACCCCACAGCAATCCATATAGTAATCCCCCCTGCGAAGATGCGGAGAAGCCAAATCCAAGTTTCAACAACATCAAAAAAATTGTGATTTAATGGTGGTTTAATGGTGGTTTAATGGTGATTAATAGTGGTTAATATGGGAATATCAATGGTTAATAGTGTATATGTTAGTTTTTCGAAAGCATCCAACAATGGTTAGTGTTCAGAAACCATCCAATCATACCCTCTGGTAATTTGTTACATAACTATGGAAAGAACATCACCATGCTAGTAATGGGAAAATCCACGAACTTTCGACTGGGCCATGGCTTCAATAGCGAACTGTTAGTGATTACCAGAGGGTATATCCATCAATATCCCAGTATTATCCCATCATATTCCCAGCAAATCATCCCTATAAACCATATTAAACCATAGGGTATTTCCCAATGACTGTGTTTTTTTTTTAACATCCCGGGATGTTCCTTCTGTTAGTTATGAGCCATCCTCCCAGGCCCGTGACGCCCTGCAGATGCTCCAGGCCAGGCAGAGTCCGCGAGCCCGGCAGCCCTGGAAAAACCCATGGGAAAACCACTGAGATATATGGTGTTATGGTGACAGTATATGGTGATTGAAGGTGTTTCAATGGTTTTATTGGTGTTTTTAAAACATGTTTCATGGTGTTTAGCTCCAGGTTTAATGGTGTTTTAATGGTGTTTCAGTGGTGTTTTAGGTGTTTTAATGGCGATTTATGGTGTTTACCTTAAATGTTTACCATGGAAAACAACGTTGTTAACCAACTTGATCTGATACATGGGTGTATCTGAAAATGGGATATATCCTCGAACCGTTTTTTAGTTTAAAGGGAACATGATGAGTAACCAGTGGATGGAACGGGATATTTTCAGACAGTCCTATATGGTAGACCACTCAAATATAGTAATCCCCGCAAAGACGGAGAAGTTTCCAGGATAGTATCCATGGTATTTGCTTCATATTTCCAGATTTCCGGTTTCCCTATCGTCTTGGGGGTTGCTGTAGTAGACTATAAGGTTTAACATGGCTTAAGCAAAATTTATCATTGAAAATCTGGTAAGCCGCAGGAAAATATAGTGCGTTTTCTTTTTTTTTGGGATCAGGCAACCCAAACTTGGGTTCTAATGGAGATTCTGAGCAAACATGGTAGAATGATGGTCTGATGGAAAATATGTCATGACAAATACTTCAAGCCACTTTGTTTTTTCCCGAATGCGTAGCAAGGGTTCCCGTTTCACTCTGGGGGTCTGGGGGTTGAGGGTGTGTTCGCTCGACGTTGCGTTCACGGTCGCAACCGTTCGCAACCGTTCGCAACCGTTCGCAACCGTTCGCAACCGTTCGCAACCGTTCGCAACCGTCCGTACGAACTCCGTATGGCCGTGCCTATGGGAAGTTTTGCAGAGGTGGTCCTTTTTGGAGGTTTCAGACGCGTCGTTGCTTCGTTTCGCGTGGCAGGCGTGGCACTTCGTGACATTCAGAGGTGTTTTGTAACGTGTCGAAAGTCGTTTTGTGTGGCAGGCGCAATACTTTTGTGACGTTTTCAGAAGATGTGTTGCAGTTTTCGTGGCAGGCGCAGCACTTTGGACGTGTCCATCGTCATTTTTCGTGGCAGGCGCAGCACTTTAGACTCTTAAAACCCTGTTGCTGATTTCTTTAGATATAGCTTCCTTAATTTCACAGGGAAAACAAGGGGAACCACAAGAAACCACACAAAGTTACAAAAAGGCTACAGAGGCTACAAAAGGCTAGGGAAATCCAGGAAGATTCCCTTCCATAATGGGATGCCTATAGAGTGCATTGTCATAGGTTTGATTACCTCTTTTATATGTGGCTTCCTTGTTCCCCTTATGGTGAATTTAAAGCTATTTAAAGAAGGACCATGTTTTTTAACTCCTGGTTTACCAGACTGGGGCCAGACATTTGATAAGGTGGTAAGGTGTGCACATGGTCAGGGTAGTGTTTGCTTGCTGGAATCTGACAATCTGGCCCAAGGGTGCTGGCATGTCGCTATTGTTTTTCTAACTGCCAGCCATGGGAAAGAGAAAGGTTGGTGTCCCAGGCCAACATGTTTCAAAATGAATGCTTGGTGTTTCAAAATCTCATTTGGTGCAAGCTAGCAGTCCACAGCATTCCATTGCCAGCCTTGTGTAGGGAAGAGAGGGTTGCCCCATGACTGGGAGCATCCTTGGAGCAATGCCAACTACTGGAAAGGGCCACATGGAAGTTGGGGCCCACCCTATGAAGAGGAAGAGGATGAGGAGGAGGATGAACAAGATTCATCTTCAGTGTCGGATAGAAAGATGCTTATTTGAAGTTTGATTGTTGGTGTGTTGTTGTAGCCTCAGGCATGCAAGAAAACATATTTTGTTTGGTTTGACCAGGGCTTGGGCACAGGTGCCTTCAATTTAGTTTGCCATGGGGTTGGCACTTAGGAAGAAGAAGGTAAAGAAAGACCTCAAAAGGAAGAGCAGCAAGCACCATGGCAAGAAGAAGGACAAGAGCAAAAAGAAAAGAAAGAGAAGTGACTGATCTTGAGTATGGCCATGTGTCAAAAGAGATGCATTGCCACCAGCAGCCATTGCCATCCATGTTCAGGTGAGAGCTCCACACCATCGATGACAGATGAGGAAGATGAAAACCTGCCAGAGGAAGAGCTGGACAAGAAGTCGCTGAGCAAGCAGCTTGGTTGAAATTCGAGGCACTTGTAGCCCCAATTGTGGCCCTCCATTTCCAGTGTGAATGTCCCAGTTGCCCAATATCATCATACATGCCCACCAGCAGTGTTGAATTTTGCCATTGCAAGGCACTGGATATACTTGGGGCCAGACTTCAAGGAGTCTGAGGGCAGCTCCAGTGCAGCTCAGAGCCAGAACCCAAAGAACAGAAAGACACTGGGTGAAACTGCTTATGGCAGTGGATGTTGCTCTTTAAGGGCCAAGTCACCTTTTCAAATTTGAAAGCACCACAACTGTGGTGCCAAGAGTTTTTGACAGTTATTGGGTCTGCAATTCACCTAAACCTAGGGCCAAACCCAGTTGAAAGGGTTTCACACTTCCTCATAGCATTGATGGTGGGTGGTGTTCTTTTCACAAGAGCACAAACTGTGGTGGCTCCAGCAAGCATTTGCCACTCAGGAATTGCTTGCCCAGAGCTGAAAGGCTCAGGCAGCTGCAGGAGTTTGATGCTGAGATGTTTGCAAATAGCACCTTGTAAACAATGGGCTGGTCCCAAATTGATGCCCAAACAATATACAGGTCAATGTGCAGTGGTGGCAACACTGGCAAGCATACTAGCAGCTAGCAAACATGACTGATGTCTTCTGGTTGTTTGTGCATATATATATTTTAAACACATGTGAATATAACCAAAGTGTAGTGCTGCAAGGTTTGATGTCAGTATGTTTTGTTTGTTGCATGAGCCAGGGGGGTTGCAGTATGTTAGGCCCAGCATGCCAGCCTTCAGCTGGGAGCCCATGCCAAGGCAACACTTGCTCACTGCCAGACTTGGCCCTGGAGCAGTTGCACTTCATTTGCACAGGCTTGTCACCAAGGACTTCACTGGCTGATCTGAGGTGCAGGACAAGAGGTGAGTTGAGTTTGGGCTGGTTTAGTGTCAGTCATGCCTGGGTTGTTTGCTTTTGTGTGTTCAAGTTGAACCCCATCCATTTGAATTTGATTCACTGTTGAATTTGGGGTACATTTTTTCAATCTGAAAAAAACATTCAATTCTTCCAGCCCCAGCTGGTGCATGAATATGCTGAGGAAGCATACATTGAAGAAGGCATTTGACAGAAAGTTAAAGGAGTCCAATGGCAAAAGGCTTTCAGCACTTCATGAAACCTGTTGGCATATTAAGGGGGGAGTGTTTGTTTTCCAAGTGGCTTGTCCATGGGTGGGTTTTCCTGCAGTGGCTTGGCATAATAGATGCCAGTGGGGAGGTTTGCTGTTGATTGTGTTGAAGGGGGTGTTGAAAGTAAAGTGGCTTCTGAGGAAGACTTGGGGAACACCAACATGGTGGCCAACAGCCTGGGTTGGGCAAAGCTCTTTGACAAACAGGCCAATAAGAAGGCAAAGCATGAGCAGCAAGGACCAGAATTGGATCTTTCAGCCATCCCTGACTTCAATGCCAAAAGGCAGTTCCCTGGTTGAATGGGTTGGGTGCCCACCCAATCCCATTCCTATAATATACAATGGTGTTTTCTCACCCCATCATGGAACAGTTTTCCATCATTGGTGGTTTCCTTTTGTAAACCAATGGCCTGGGTCATCCAATTCACTGGCTTGCTTTTGATTTCTGATGTTGAGGCCAGATGGGTGGCTGGTGGTGCAGGACAAGGGAGGCACTCTCCACAAGCTTGCCCCACCTGGGGCCCCATGTGCATTGATCTACAGGGGTGGCCAGTACCATCTCAAGATGGCAGAGAGCAACCTGTCAACTGAGAACCTTGGGTGTGCACCCTCAAGCTTCACCACTTCTTATTTCATGTACCCACCATGATAGATGAACTGTTGTGCCAATTGGTCCTTTTGTGGGTTTATGCACCACTCTTGGTAGATGAAGGCATCCATTTTCTGCATTACTGCCCCCTTAACTTTCTCCATTTTCTGCACTACTGTCCCCTTAACTGTTTCCATTTTCTGGACTACTGTCCCCTTAACTTTCTTCATTTTTTGCATTACTGTCCCCTTAACTTTCTCCATTTTCTGCATCACTGTCCCCTTAGCTTCCTCCATTTTCTGCATCACTGTCCCCTTAACTTTCTCCATTTTCTGCATTACTGTCCCCTTAACTTTCTCCATTTTCTGCATTACTATCCCCTTAACTTTCTCCATTTTCTGCATTGCTGCCCCCTTAACTTTCTCCATTTTCTGCATCACTGTCCCCTTAGCTTCCTCCATTTTCTGCATTACTGCCCCCTTAACTTTCTCCATTTTCTGCATTACTGTCCCCTTAACTGTTTCCATTTTCTGGACTACTGTCCCCTTAGCTTCTTCCATTTTCTGCATTACTGTCCCCTTAGCTTCCTCCATTTTCTGCATTAGTGTCCCCTTAACTGTTTCCATTTTCTGGACTACTGTCCCCTTAACTTTCTCCATTTTCTGCATTGCTGCCCCCTTAACTTTCTCCATTTTCTGCATTACTGTCCCCTTAACTTTCTCCATTTTCTGCATTGCTATCCCCTTAACTTTCTCCATTTTCTGCATCACTGTCCCCTTAACTTTCTCCATTTTCTGCATTACTGTCCCCTTAACTTTCTCCATTTTCTGCATTACTATCCCCTTAACTTTCTCCATTTTCTGCATCACTGTCCTGCTTGCCCCACCACCAATCAGAGACATTGCATTGGGGCATCACTGGATTGAACTAAGGGCTGTGATGACATGCAGGGAGATCTTCACTTCACCTTCTGGTGTCCATGACTGGTTTGAGAAAATTGCCACTTGCAACAAGTCAGTTCCATAAGCCACACAGTTTGAGGGCATGATTTGTGCAGATCATTGGCTGTAGCCTGCAGGATTAAGCTTTCAGCTGGGCTTGGTCACACCACCAGAGCTTGGCCCAAACTAAGGGGGAGCATGCAGTGATCCACCAGAAAGTTGCCCAGTGGGCAAAGGACTACATCAAAATGTGCACAGGCCAGGGTGTTGCTTGATCCTTTGGGAGTGATTGGAACTTCAATCCAAGTGGCAGGCATGGCACCTGATCACTGGATGTTTGTCCAAGTGCAGTCTCTACTGGCCAAGCAGCAGAGCAACTTGTCTTTGTTTGAGGTGTTCATGGCATGGAAAATGTGAAAAGGCCACAGGCTTCTAACCAGCAAGCAGCCCAATAAGTTTCAGTTTACCAGGCCAGGTTTTTCAGCAACAACAAGTTTAAGGTTGCACCCATGCATATGCACCACTCAGGTAGCAGTCACAAGAGCTTTCAGACTGTCCAGACCACACCTGGTGGAATTGACACTGACAGAGAGTCCTCAGTGTATGTGGGAAGTGAGAGTGGTTCTCTAGCCACTGGGCTTGAGTGAGTTGTTTACTGGCCACACCATTACATTTCATCACTGGTTGGGCCTGGGATACCCTTAGCAGTTGCAAGCAGCTAAGTGAAAGGATGGAGTTTCAGCTTGGGATAGATCTATTTGGAAATAGAATTTAAAAACACAAAGCCATGGGGTCCAGCAACATGAGAGTAAATTCTGACTAGGTTAGCCACTGGTGATCACACCCCCAAACCAATCCAGCTTGTGGCTACACAAACCAAGGGCTTGAGTTGATGGTGGGTTGTATCGTAAGAGCTGAGGCTGTGGAGCAACGATGTCTTGTGCCTGGGCAAGCATACATGCCACAGCCACAGCAATCCAGCCTCCACACCTTCTTCAACCCACAAGTGCCACAGCAAATGGAGCCAGGACAGCAGCTGACACCAACAGGTGGCCAACAACAGGCACCACAAGGCCAACTTCAACAAGTGCAAGCAGGCCAGCCCCAACAGCAGTTCCCAGCAGCAGTTGGGCAAGTGCCACAAGGCCAACCACTGCAAGTGCAACCAGGCCAGCAGCAGTTCCCAGCAGGTGGGTGCATGCAAGGCCAGCCTCAGCAAGTGCAACCAGCCCAGCAAACAGGAGTTGGGCAAGCACAACTAGGCCAACCCCAGCAAGCCCACCCAGGACAGCAGCCAGCACCAGTTGGGCAAGGGCAGCAAAGCATACCACAGCAAGTGCAAGCGGTCCAGCCAGCACCAGGACAGCAGCCACCACCAGCAGCTGGGCAAGGGCAGCAAAGCTTACCACAGCAAGTGCAAGCAGTCCAGCCAGCACCAGGACAGCAGCCACCACCAGCAGTTGGCCAATGGCAGCAAAGCTTACCACAGCAAGTGCAAGCAGTCCAGCCAGCACCAGGACAGCAGCCACCACCACCAGTTGGGCAATGGCAGCAAAGCCTACCACAGCAAGTGCAAGCAGTCCAGCCAGCACTAGGGCAGCAGCCACCACCAGCAGTTGGGCAATGGCAGCAAGGCATACCACAGCAAGTGCAACCAGGACAGCAGCCTGTACCACCAGTTGCTCCAGAGCAGCTGGGCCAACCTCAGCAAGTGCAACCACCACCAGCAGTTGGGCAATGGCAGCAAAGCCTACCACAGCAAGTGCAACCAGGCCAGCAACCAGAGCCAGCAGTTGGGCAAGGGCAGCAAGCCTTACCTCAGCAAGTGCAACCATGGCAACAAGGGCAAGCACAGCAAGTGCAACCACCACCAGCACCAGCAGTTGGGCAAGGGCAGCAAGCTTTACCACAGCAAGTGCAAGGGCAGCAGCTTGTCCCACCAGTTGCTCCAGGGCAACTAGGCCAACCTCAGCAAGTGCAACCAGACCAGCAGACAGCACCAGTTGGGCAAGGGCAGCAAAGCCTACCACAGCAAGTGCAACCAGGCCAGCAACCAGCAGTTGGGCCAGGTCAGCTAGGGCAACCTCAGCAAGTGCAACCAGGCCAGCAGACAGCACCAGCAGTTGGGCAAGGGCAGCAAACCTTACCACAGCAAGTGGAAGGGCAGCAGCTTGTCCCACCTCCAGGGCAACTAGGCCAACCTCAGCAAGTGCAACCAGGCCAGCAGACAGCACCAGCAGTTGGGCAAGGGCAGCAAACCTTACCACAGCAAGTGCAAGGGCAGCAGCTTGTGCCACCAGCTGCTCCAGGGCAACTAGGCCAACCTCAGCAAGTTCAACCAGGCCAGCAGACAGCACCAGTTGGGCAATGGCAGCAAAGCCTACCACAGCAAGTGCAACCAGGCCAGAAACCAGCAGTTGGGCCAGGTCAGCTAGGCCAACCTCAACAAGTGCAACCAGGCCAGCAGACAGCACCAGCAGTTGGGCAAGGGCAGCAAACCTTACCACAGCAAGTGGAAGGGCAGCAGCTTGTCCCACCAGTTGCTCCAGGGCAACTAGGCCAACCTCAGCAAGTTCAACTAGACCAGCAGACAGCACCAGCAGGGCAAGGGCAGCAAAGCCTACCACAGCAAGTGCAAGCAGTCCAGCCAGCACCAGGACAGCAGCCACCACCAGCAGTTGGGCAATGGCAGCAAATGCAACCAGGACAGCAGCCTCCACCACCAGTTGCTCCAGAGCAGCTAGGCCAACCTCAGCAAGTGCAACCAGCCCAGCAACCACCAGTTGGGCAAGCACAACTAGGCCAACCTCAGCAAGTGCAGTCTGGCCAGCAGCCAGCACCAGCAGTTGGGCAAGGGCAGCAAGCTTTACCTCAGCAAGTGCAACCAGGACAGCAGCCTGTACCACCAGGTGCTCCAGAGCAGCTAGGCCAACCACAGCAAGTGCAACCAGGACAGCAGACAGCACCAGTTGGGCAAGGGCAGCACAGCCTACCACAGCAAGGGCAAGCAGCCCACCCAGCACCAGGACAGCAGCCACCACCAGCAGTTGGGCAATGGCAGCAAAGCCTACCACAGCAAGTGCAACCAGGCCAGCAACCAGGCAAGGCAGCAGCTGGAGCTGGGGAAGGGCACCTGGGCCTGCCACAGCAGGCAACACCAACAGTTGGGCAAGAGCAGCCAGCACCAGCAAAGCAGAGGGCCCCAGTAGAGGAAGTGCAACCAGGCAAGGCAGCACCACCAGCAGCTGGGGAAGGGCAACTGGGCCTGCCACAGCAGGCAGCACCAACAGTTGGGGAAGGGCAGCAAGCCCCACCACAGCAAGTGCAACCAGGCAAGACACCACCACCAGCACCCAAACAAGTGGCTCAGATGCCAAAAGAAGGTGAGGGGTTGGTGTGGTGGAAGGGAGTGTGGGGTATCTGCCATCCAAAGTGCAAGGGTTGGTAACTGTCACATTTTGGGTATATTGGACATCACCTTATAGTAGCCATTATAGACCATATACCTAATGGTTGGGTGATGTTCAATGGGGACATTTAATGACCCATGCAAAGCATGACATAAGTCTGTATCTAGAAAAACCAAACAAATTTGCAATGGTAGTGATGCCAACTTAGAGCCACAGCCAGTCCAAAGGCAACTGCTGAGTTTGTATTTTGTTTTTGCCATACTTGGCTAGCTATTTGAAACCAACTTGGCTAGCTATTTCAGACCATCATTAAACCATTGTGGGCCTAGTCACTTGCTTAATAGACTTTAAGATGTCACAGACCAATCATCAGTGTTGGGGTGTGCCACAGCCCTGGCTTTCTTTTGCCATTGCTGCCAGCAGGCCTTGAAAAGGGGAAAGCTGAGCAAGGCCTGGCAACTTAGTTTTGTGGGTGTGCCTGGATCCTGGGTTTCCAAGGCACATGGCCAACTTGAGAGATTTCATGCTGGGGGGCCATAGTGTTGGGCTTCAATTTACCAAGATGTCACATGGCCAACCACCAAATGAAAATTGTTTGTTTGTTTTCATGGTTGGGTAGCAGGTGTGACAAACAAAAAACCATAAGCCACCCAAAGATCTAAGCAGTCAAGTGGGAAGACTTTTTACTATGGGTACTTGGTGTGTTTGGTGGGTTCCTGAAATGTTTGGGGCACAACCAGCTTTTATTTAGTGCCTAAGCTTTGAATTTGTTCAACCAACCATTGCTGCCACCAGGTGATGGGGCCAATGGCCCAGCAAAGGCTGGGAACCAACCAAAGGCTGGTGGAGGTGTTTAAGCTGCAGGGATGGCATGGCCACATCACCCCAGGTTGGTTTAGCATTCTGGGAGTGCAGCTATGTGGGGTGTGAACTTAGATGGATGGATGGATGGATGGATAGATAGATAAGCAAATAGGTAGGTAGATGCAAGCATAGATAGACAGGTGGAAAGATTAGATTAGGTTAGATTAGATTAGGTAGATAGATAGATAGATAAATAGATAGATAGATAGATAGAGAGGCAGAGAGCTAGAGAGAGAGAGAGATAGATAACTAGATAGAGAGAAAGAGTTAGAGAGAGAGAGGTAGAGAGAGAGAGATAGATAAAGACCTGCATACATGCACTTCCTACATACATACATACATACATACATACATACATGCATGCATGCATACCACATACATACATGCATACACACATACACACACACACATGCACACATACATACATACATGCATGCATACATACATACATACATGCATGCATACATACATAGATACATACATACATACACTTCCTACATACACACATACATACATGCATGCATACATCCATACAGACATACATACAGATATACATACATACATGCATGCATGCATACATACATACATGCATACATACATACATGCATACAGATACACATGCATACCTACATACATACATACATCCATGCATACATACATACATACATACATACAGGCATACATGCACACAGGCCCAGAAACAAACAAACAAACAAACAAACAAACAAACAAACAAAAAACCATACATACATACATACATACATCCATGCATCCATACACCCATACATCCATACATACATACCTACATACAGGCATACATACACACAGGCCCACAAACAAACAAACAAAAACCATACATACATACATACACACTTGCATACCCACATACCTACATACCTACATACCCACATACCTACATACCTACATACAGGCAGACAGACAGACAGACAGGCATAGGCATGCAGACAATATTACATACTTGCAGGCATAGCTATTCCTACAGCAACTGTATGCAAACATGTGAGTGTAAGCAGCTTGGTGGTATGTATTTATGCTGTTACATGTGTATATATCTTTGTTGTTTTAGATGAAAACATATCTGTTTATTTATGTGGTTTTTATGTGTATATTTACATGAATATATATATATATACATATGTAAATATTTATATATATATATATATGTATATATATATCTATCTCAATATTTTTTTGATTTGGATATATCTGTAAATGTAAATTTATTTCAATGTGGTATTTGTATATTGATCTCAAATATATAAAAAATATTATCTGTATATTTAAATAAATAAAAAATATATATATTATATTTTGCCAATATATATATATATATATAATATGTAAATATATATATATTTCCTAATTGGTTGTTTTTTTTCAGTTCATATTTGCTGTTGGTACATTCTGGCTTCCCAGGCATCAAGCTCAATACTGAAGCCATTGAGGAGGCCAAGAAGAAGCAGGCTGAAGCCCAATCCCAGGCTGCAGCCAAGTGAGCTGCCCTTGAGTGAGGGCTGGTAGGGTCAAATCATAAAACCAAGTCGGTTTTGATTGGGGCAGGTTGGTGCCAGCACCCACTGCAATGGATAGCACTAGAATATAATTATAGTGCACAATAGTTTGTAAACATACTGATTATGCAGAAAACAATGGAAGGTTTTGCCATATTCAGTTTCATTTTTTTAATGAAAGGTTGGGCAGTGGGTCAGTGCAACAAAGAAACACCACTTAGTTCTTGGATACCTTTTTGTAGGCATCTTTGGCAGTACCTGTTTTTTAATTCACAGGTGCAGGGCCAAGAGGGCAAGGTATATCTATTTTGGAGCCTGGTTTTACCACTGCCCAATTCATGTGTTCAGATTTACTCAGTGCTATCAGATTATGATTTGGGTGGTCTATTTATGCAAAGTTCATTTGCATTTGTGTACATTACTAAGTGGCAGTGGTTGGTGCCAGGTTTTTTTCCAGCACAGGAGGGTAGCTACCCTGAAGTCTTGTTGACAACACCAAGTGCAGACACAGGTGCAAAAACACTGGGTGGAGGCTTGACCATTTGATCTTGACATTGCACCAAAAAGGGTTTGTGACCATTAAGATGTGCTGGTTCACTGGTGCTGTTGCCATACCCATGGAGTGGTGGGCAATGCCTGGTTAGTAGAATGTGCATGGTATGGGGGCCCCAAGGTGTTAGGTGAAGTGTATGTGATGTTTTGTGAATTGGCTCAAGGGAAAAGACTGTTTTGTCACAGCATGGACCCTGGCCACCATGAGTGTTACTTGGCTTGTAAAAACAATGTCAATTCAAGCTTGCATTCAATATAGCCAGGTGGGTTGGTTCAACTGCATCCCAACTACCTTGCCCAGGCTGTGATGCTGAGGGCAAGGAACAACAGCATGGAACAGCAGGATGAATGGGTAAGGTTGGCAGGTGGGCCAGATTGCATTAAGTACACAAAGCAGTGGCATCAAACAAATAAAAAAGCAAAAAAACAAAAATGTCGAAGTATTATTTTGGCAGGGTTTTGGCATACTTTGGGAAAGCTTGAAATTAGGAAAAAACACTATTAGCAGTATGGGGAAACAAAACTGTCAAACAGTAAAATTAAAAAATGGGCAGCATTCTGTTTAGGTGGACTATGTTCAAACAAACAGCCAGCTCACACCAGAGGCAATCCCCAAAACTGGGAATTGCATTGGAATTTTCCAGCCTTTTACTGGAATTGTATTGGAATTGCATTGGAATTGTTTAGCCTGGGGAGCCCAAAAGTTGGAATTTTTTAGCATTTCATTGGAATTTGTTAGCCTTTCATTGGAATTTGTTAGCCTTTCAGTGGAATGTGTTAGCAGTTCATTGGAATCTGGTAGCATTGCATAGGAAAAGGAAACTCCAATGAACATCCATGGAGAATCCAGTAGGAACCCAATGAGACCCCAATGGGAATCCAATGGGAACCCAACCAGAATCCAATGAGAAGCAAACCTAAAAATGAGAACCTGGGCCAGGAACAGAATGGACTCTGGCCTGTGGACCACCTGGAAGAGGTGACATGGCATTGGAAGGATGACAAGACCAAGGACAACACCTGGGACCTGCATGGGGGCCAAATAAATATGGGAATACCCAAAAGGGGGAGTAGGGTGCTATTTAAGAATGGGAATGTAGGCATCCCCAGTTGGAGGGGGGCTGCAACACTGCCCACCACTGACTGCAAAGCTTCTGCAGCCTTTGGGCTGCCACATTGCCAGACAAAGTGCTGGCACAACATTTGCATTGGAGGGTGGCTGCAACACTGCCCACACCACTGACTGCAAAGCTTCTGCAGCCTTTGGGCTGCCACATTGCCAGACAAAGTGCTGGCACAACATTTGCATTGGAGGGTGGCTGCAACACTGCCCACACCACTGATTAAAAGCTTCTGCAGCCTTTGGGCTGCCACATTGCCAGACAAAGTGCTGGCACAACATTTGCATTGGAGGGGGGCTGCAACACTGCCCACACCACTGATTACAAAGCTTCTGCAGCCTTTGGACTGCCACATTGCCAGACAAAGTGATGGCACAACATTTGCATTGGAGGGTGGCTGCAACACTGCCCACACCACTGATTGCAAAGGTTCTGCAGCCTTTGGGCTGCCACATTGCCAGACAAAGTGCTGGCGCAACATTTGCATAGGAGGGGGGCTGCAACACTGCCCACACCACTGACTGCAAAGCTTCTGCAGCCTTTGGGCTGCCACATTGCCAGACAAAGTGCTGGCACAACATTTGCATAGGAGGGGGGCTGCAACACTGCCCACACCACTGATTCAAAGCTTCTGCAGTCTTTGGACTGCCACATTGCCAGACAAAGTGCTGGCACAACATTTGCATAGGAGGGGGGCTGCAGCATTGCCCACACCACTGATTGTACAAAGCTTCTGCAGCCTTTGGGCTGCCACACTGCCAGCAGCAATGCTTGCCTGCATGCCATGTTTTACTAAACTTAAGCACTTAAAAATGGGACTGGTTGCCCAAAGGCTGGAATGGGGTGATAGACAGGGGCCATCCCAAAAACACCCACCCAACAAGGGGAAAACCAATTTGGGTAATACTACCATCATTGGTCCAATGATTGGGTCATTTTGATGGCTGATATTTGTTGAAGTGGCCAAAGATTGGTGGTGCTGCAGGATTTGGCCATGCAGTCCTGGACAGTGACAACCAGGTGGAAGAGTGGGGAGACTGCAGAGTTGATGAGGTGCCTGGTCAGCAGCACTTGCTTCATATGAGTATGTTGCTGGCCTATGTGTATCCCAACTTTGTTGTTTGGTTTGACTTAAACTTGAGATTGCATTCTCACAGGGTGAGCCAGTGCTTCCCAATTTTGTTTCAAGTGTGGTGGCTGTTTGAAGTCTATATTTCATATTGATGGCACCTTTGGTTTCCCATCCCTTTTGGTTCAATGTGGGGTGGGCTCAAACCCAGGTACCATGAAGATACGAGAGCACCCTTGAAGCCAAGTGATGACAGGGTCAAGGACCCAGGGC